TAACCCAACACCATTGCAGTTTCGATACAGACTACGCTGGTACGTGTTAGGAAAACATTCATCAGATGTGTTCACCGCCAGTAATATCAGCATGCAAGATTCGGATGAAATGTGCTTAACTAGCGATATCGACTTCGGCGAAGAGGACAAAAAAGAAACAGAGGAAAATAAAGAGAAAAAAACCGATGGTTATGACGAGGCTGAGTTAATGCTAGAGAACATGCAATATAATACACATTCGGATAGAAGCTTCGATACAGAATATTTACATGAATTTATGGAATTTGAAGAAGAAAACCCTGAGGATAATGATCTTGGTAAGCTAAATATGTACACGAAAAAAAATTTGTTTATTTAATCGATACTCCGTTGGGAAATAATAAATCTGACATTTTTTTTGTTAAAATAGCTATACCTTCTGAGTTGTGGAAGTAAAAGAAACTACTCTTATTTACTTCTACAAGCAGATAAAGCATTGTACTATTTATTACTGTATATTTATTATTGTATTATGCGCCTTTTAACATAGACACAGGTATAGATATACAATATTCCCCAACTGAAGATGAATTGAAGCTTTTGGATCAAGTGGAAGAATTGAACGTAGTTGATGTCATAAAAGGAGAGGGCCTTAAATACATCGCAGGTTATGCGTCTTTTAGATTTCGGAGTGAATTTCCGTTTTTAGGAACCCCAACAGAATTGTTGATTAATCCAGATAATGACTGGATTAATTATATTTCTAAAGGAAAATTAATCAACCCTTGTACGGAATTATTTGAAACGGCGAAAATCATGGAAAAATTATTTCAAGATTATCATGGTTCTTCTATTTGTAAAGAGCCATGGATTTTTAACACATTAGCATCAAAAATCATCGAATTACAAGACAAAAACTGCCTGGTAATACCGAAGAAAGTATTATTATGCTTAATACGTACAAGGACATATATTCGTGTTCGAGAATTAAACAAAAAATTAAAAAGTGACGCATATAAAAGAAAGAAAATTAAAAAAATAAGCAAAATTACTAATACTAAAAAATAAATAGGCGTTTTTATATATTTTGTATTGCATATAATATTAATAAATGTATATACATATAAATAAATAAATGTAATATACTTTTGAAAACTAATTTATTCTTCAACATGTTTTTCTTTTCAGTGTTTAATATACACAAATGTAACATGCATAAACATGAAAAAATCAATTTTTATTATTGCACAAGATAAAATCAAATTTGTTTTGTAAGCATACATATAATCAAGTAAAACACATAAATAAGTAAATAATGTTGTAACACCGAATTCAAATCGCCGCGGCAAAATGGTGGTATCTGGCATCAATCCTCATTGGTTGTTAG